AATGCTAATGTTTGAAGAAGAGCCGACTGCCCAGAATTAGGACTGCGACTTAAATAACCATTATGCAAGACGAAACTTGTTTTGAGTGTGGTTATAAATAATTTTCCAGTTTCGAAATGAGAAAACCATTTGTTCCTTGTGTAAATAATTCAACGCTTCCCAATTAGTTGCCTCTATAATTTAAACTGCATATATAATGTCAAATATGAAATGTTTTGTCGAAGTCTCACTCTCCTGACATTGAAATCGGATCTAGAAGAGTCTACAACCCTAAATGTAGCTTGTTTGAAATCGTTGGTGATTTATATAGCCACCTTCTTGTCCATTTAGGGGTCCCAAACATAACTTTGTAGTACTCTTGTGTGCGAAATAAGAAAACACATATTATTTTATTTGACGTTATTAAAATAAATAAAGACAAATGGTTCTAAAACGTGTGTACTTAGAGTTCATCTCAAGTTTACTATGAGTTCTGAAAAACAATATTCGTAATGAGGAAATCGAATCAAAATCCTTTTGAACATAAGAATAGTACCAACTTCAGTGTGATAGTATATGAGCAATTAGAGAGAAAATCAGAATTATAATATTCAAATCTCATTGTACTGAAACTGGGCAAATATTGAATCAACTAGCTAGGTGTGGCGTTTCCGACGCTTTAATTAGTTTTAATTTTTTTCACATTGAGTCATTTGAGTTTATAAAAATTAGATTACAAATATCAAAAAAAGTGTCCAGTTCTCCGTCGACAAGATTCCCCAATGACCCAATCGAGATGCATGGAATAACACATCACTTGCCACTAAGGGCGTGCTAGAAGGGGTCTAGCTTAATAATTTCTTCCCATACTACATCTTCCCCACAATTCCATTTGGCTGTCTGCTATTTTTTAAATACAAAAATAACAAGCGGTAATAATAATAGTAATAATGATAGAAACAATAATGATAATCATTATTATTAGCATTATTAGAGCGCCCTCGGGTGGCTCGTGAATAGTGTGCTAGCTTTTCTAAGGTGGCCCTCGGTTCAATTCCCGGCTGGGACAAAAACGAAGCTATAGCCTTCTAATGCAAATTATCTCACTTTCAAAAGAAATAGCTCGGACTGGCCAAGTAAGCGAGGTACGATGATGGCAATACGTCACATTGGCTACATGTCGCCCTTACCCCCAGTTGTGAATAATAAATAAAAACATGGTCCAGGAACGTCAATCGCTAGCTGGCAAAAGTCGGATTAATCCAGCCCTAAAATGCCAAATATATACATATTATTATTATTATTATTATTATTATTATTATTATTATTATTATTATTATTATTATTGTCGTCATATTATTTTCTCAAAAGATAAGAAAAATGACCAGTTTTCCACCAACAGACCGAGACACATCGAATGACACGTCGCTTGCCCCAAACGGTGGGGGTGTAACAATGATGGTCGGATGTACACCCACAGTTACCCGACAACTACATTAGAATCAATGTTCAGACTTTTGGTAGCTGGGGGGGGGGGATGAAAAGAAAACAAACTATTTCTGCTCGTAAATTATGCAGAAATGCGGAGCGCTTATCTGAAATCATAGGAAACTGCTCAACAAGCATGCTCTTTCATCTACTATATTTATTTTACGCGGGACAAAAACGAAAACCGAATGTTAGTGATAGATACAGTGAAGGTCCTCTCCGATGGAAGCTCACCACTTTCGACATCGGAGTTGGTAAATCATTTAATTTCTTCTAGAGGAAACCACACAACGACCATCTTACTCAGAACGCAGAGTTCGAATGAATGCCCTTTCAATACCCTAGTGAAATGCTTAATTATTGCTTGGGAGAGGGAAACAACCGAAAAAATAAAATCATTTTGTGAAAATAAAGAGACGGAGTTAAACGAAATACAACATTAAAATATTGTGCAACATTTACTAACACATTAATATTTACCTCTTGCCAGTCTATGCATTATACTGATTAAAATGTTCCCAAATTATTTTTGCATGTGTAAATGAATTTGAATGAGGAAGAGAGACAGTTTAAATTGTACTACACCTACCGTTACCATGAGTGCCAACTCAGCATTCTATTCTCGAAGCAATTATTTACATTTTCACGGGAGGATTCTTATTATTCTTCTTAGAATACAACACACTTTCTTGATTCAAAATCCAAGGAACTGTAATATTAAAACTCTAAGGGTAGGCCTACAAAAGCAATAAAATTATTAATATATTTAAGTTAAATATTTTTTTGTATCTTTGAAAATATTTGATATGGTTTTAGAATAAAAATACACACTAAGAGGTGTATTTGTTGAAATAATACATTGTCGTTTACTGATACCAAGAAAGTTAGCAAATGCCCAGAGTGATATATTAAGAATTCCCACTGATAAACTGTTGCAACGTTTAAAGAAGTAATATGAGACAAGTAAATGCTCCAGAAAAAAGTCCTTTCTTATTTACAATACAATAAAATTGGTCCAGATAAGAAGTTGAAATATCTGTCATGTTATATGCAATTAACAAGGAACTGTTATAGTTATTAACATCATTACGTTTGCGGGTTCGATGGTGTAATTGTCAGCTTATTGAACTGTCATATGGCTATCATATCAATGGCGAAAAACCCTTCGTTCACCTTCCTTCGGAGGGAAAATAAAATTGACAGAACCATGTTGTAGATTTACTGCATGTATAAGATCCCTAAACCTAAAAGTAATCTCTGAATTAAATCCAAATCGCCCGATTCACCGCCCAAGTGATACAGTCTTTCTCTGCTAGATGGCGAAAGGAGGGTAGCAAAATTTACGTGGTCATGAGGAAGAGCAAGCCTCGTGGCTTGAGCCTCGCGAAATAAAATAAAGCATTATTAATTAATTGATTGGTTGAGGTAGAGTAAATAACGGAGGTGATTGAAGTGTGTAAATTGAGGCTATAGCTGGAGTTTATTGCCAAAGAGGTCCGTTATGTTAACGGCCGCAGTCGTTCAGTATTTTGGTAATACAAACTCGTCATAAAAATCATACAAATAAGAGTTCTCCAATGCACTCTTTCACTACAACTTTGTTTCAATTGATGAGATGGATGACGGTAGAACAAAAAATACGAGTGAATAATCAAGTAAAACCTCCAAATAAATGCATTTTTTATGATTGTGTGTCATCTTGATGGTCCATTTTTTTCTGAAAATAACCATACAGGAGATAAAACATACCCAGACGTCGACTAACGACATCTTCAAAAAATGCTGCCTTACGTCTTCTGAGAAAGACCACTAGTTACATTACCGAGTTACTCCATATTCACTAAGCATTTTCAATGTCGAGATTGCAACCAAACTACACAAAGCTTTCTACCAGACGTGGCATCGTATGAGGTAAAGAAATCTTTACGGCTATAATGCAAACCGTTAGTGAAATCTTGAAAAATGTTATCTCAGCTAACAATAGCTGCCCTAGTTTCTAGCCTGTTGAAGTACATTTTAATTACAATATATATAAACATTTTAATAATATAATAATGATAGTGGGTCTGAAAACGGCACAAATATTTTGTTAAAAATAATAAGCAGTATTCACATAATTGTTGATATTTATAAACGTTGAAATGACTAATTTAACAAAGGGTAACAGTCTGTGACATTTTGAAAATTCTAAACAAATTAAATGTGGGCGTTGGAAAACAAAAATGTTTAATATTCATTAATATGTATTGAATATTCACTTTTGTTTGTTAAAAATTGCGATTGAATAATACCACATCCAAGTAAATGATGACAAATGAAGTTCGGAATTTTCAAAGGTGCTAAATGCCAAATTTGTCCTACGTTTAGTAATCGGGTAACTCGCGTGTGTCCGGGTTTTCGTTCCTTACGGTTAGACCTCTTCTGTTCCACCATCCTGGGCATGCAAGATGTTTCGGACTACTAGTGAAAACCTGATCGGCTTTTGAAATTCTGCAAGAACTAGCAAAAAGAAGTTTCGAAAAAATGTGTTTGTGAAAGAGAAAGCGACTAAAACGCGTTTTACTTTGAGTGTTTGTCGGGGAGGGGGGGCAAGCCTCATACAGAGGTGACTCCTATTCCACATTCCATTCATATCTGCAGGACGGATCTATTGTCATTATTTTATCGGGATTCGTCTACAATATTCTGGAAGAAATCTAAATAAGTGCTTTGGGGACGTTGAAGACTTCCAGCCTGTCGTGCACAAAATAAATTGTTACGACTGGTTCCGACGATTGACAGTAATTAAATCTAATTTTGTAATGAAACGAAAACATCGTTTAAGTGTATCTATCCATTCTTTCCCTGTAGCTATTTATTCCTAACAACGGACGAGCTTGGCAACTGTATTATGTTTAAAATTTCTATTATGAATTTTCCTAGAACAAATTATATTTTTAAGCCAACGTTACGCCACGATATGCTATTTCACTTACTATTTTTTCCCGAAATGATTAATGAATTATTTTAAGAAATTTGTACTATAGAAATAGCTAAGTAATTATCATTTCATGACAATGACATCGCTTCAATAACAATTCAATCACAATTTCATGACAATGACATTGCTAATTATTGGAAAATAATTGAAAATATTTCCTTAAATTACATTTTCTCAGTAAATAGAATGTATGCTCGGCACCGACCCCGAGAGTAATACCAGTGTTTAAATATGCATTATAAGCTTAATTGAAAAAATCGACTTAAAACATTTCAATTATAAATACTGAAAGTGCAGTTAAGATAGAGACTTAGAGACTTAAGAAAGTGCACTTAAGACACTTATTCATTAATGTATATGAAAAATATGTAGGTAGATCAAACAAGACTGAAAAGCCTTACGCAGATAAAAAATGCTCGGAGTTGAGAAATATTTCGTATAATTTGTTACAGAGGTTACTCTCAGTCTACGAAAAAGCCGTGAATCCGCCTCGGCGCCCGGCCCACCCCCAGCAACGCCGGCCTCCGCGAGCGGCCCGGAGCGACTGGCTTACCTGCGAAGACGCCGCCTGGAGCCCGCTGAATGACTCCGGGTGCTGGGCGTCGCCGCCTTATAAACGCGCCGAGGCGGCCAGCGGCAGGTGCGTCGGGGGCGTCGCGACGCCACGGGGCGGCGCGGTGTGGCGCGTGTGCCGCTCGCGCACGCGGCCCGTCACGCGTGATTTGCGTTCGACGCGTGTCCCGCACGGCACGCGTGCGCACGTGACGAGAGGGTAGCCCGCAGTGGCGGCGGCGCTGGCGGGCGCGGCGCGGTCGCGGCAGCGGGCGCGTTTTGGGTTGCACCCGGCCGCCGCCGCCGCCGCCGCCTCCGCCGCCGTCGCAGCGCCAGCAGCAGCTGGAGGAGGAGATGGAGGCGGAGGAGGAGGAACGCGCGGCATTGGGACGGCCACCCGCTGCCTGTTGCCCAATGGGATGCGGGGCTTCTCACGCAACACCTCGGTTCTCTGGAAGAGTTCGAATGGGTTCAAGGATGTGCGTAAATATTCATGCAGCCTAAATCCAATGTTCAAGTCTTGCGTTTTTGTTGACGAAAATACACATTCTATGCCAGTTTAGATACCCGAGGTGGTAGAGGTGTACCGACTCGACGCCTCGGTACGGAGGGTCGTACGTTTGAAATCCGTCCTGACCATGGATGTTCGACCTTGTTTTCTGGATGTTGGGTTGCCAAAGACGTTGCTTCTGATAACCTTCTCCGCTTCCCCGCGACCTCTAGTTTCGAATTTTGTATAGATCCGAAAAATTGAGTAGTAAAATCTTTTTGAGGGACAATAAATGTTGTTTAGCCTATCCGGGTAGCCGAGATCGCTAAGGCAGTAGTATCGTGCTGATCTCGGATGGAAGGATCGCGGGTTCAAATCCCGCCTCAGGTATGGATGTATTTGTGATCGTCCCTTCACCCTTCATCATCATCCTATCACTTCATTAAACAAGTGTTAATAATTCCGTGTTCAAACTGGAGGCCCTTGCCCTTAATGTGATGTTCTGTAGGTTTAAAAAATGTTCTTTATCGAGTACGATTCATATAATGCACTTAACCGTACAAGTTCAAGGTTAGGAGGGATTTATCCAAATTAAATTATTAAACTGGTACGGTTAGTCTCAGGACACAAGTATACCAGAGACCAAATTCTGATTATTTGGCAAAGGTATTGTATAGGCTTAGACGAGCATGAAGGCCAATGTGGCAATGAGCGTGTACCGGCTTAGCGCTTCGGTGCGCAGGTTCGTGGGTTCGAGTCCCGCCTTGGGCATAGCTGTTTGTCCCTTATCTCTCAAGTATGTGTTGTCGCGGAGGACCTCGCGTTCCGCTGATCCCAGATCAGAGAAGCCTGCAAGTGTGTTGGCGTTTAGTGTGTGGTCGAACATGCATCCCATCGGGACATGAAGATTAAAGACTGTCGGCTGGATGAAAGCCGTAGCAAACATAATTATAGGTTTAGAAACACCAATGATCCTACGCCAAATACTACGAGTGTTTTGAAGATTGTTTTCGTTTATCATTTATATCAACATGAACGTTAATTTTCTTTCTATTACACAAGAGGAAAAAACAATGTAGAGACCTTTAGCTGTTGAAAAACTGTCTCACTCTTCTTATGACCATTTTCTCTGGCACACCCAATGGGAGAGCAGAGTCATTAAAACTCCGTTTATATAATAAAAATTCTTTATAAGAAATCATCAACTCGACTGAACTCTATTCCAACATATAGCATCCACGACACAAAAATTCTGGTTGCCCTCGATTATTCTCTCTCAATTACATTCTCGGGCATTTCATTTAACGTTGTATTGTATTTTTTTATTTGATTAATTTACACAAAAACTAATAACGAACAAACTTCAATGAATAAATTAATTAAGGAATAAAGTTACAATATATTAATTTTAATCTTTAAAAAGTTAACTGAATCTATTTAAAGGATTATATAACACAAATTCTGAAAATAATATTTCATTCGCTCTTGTTGACTTCCGCTAAAACGAAAGTTTTACCCTTTTCCTACCGGGAATACGAGAGGAATAAACCAAAGGTTAACCATCTTTAAACAGAACAGCCTGTCCATGCATCCGCCAACGTTTTAGAAGATATTTATCCATAATGTTTTCATTCTGAATGCTGTCTTTCATTATCTTTTAACTGATTCAGTGCAACTCTCATCGTTGAGGTTTTAACTGATTCAGCGCGACTGTCAACGCTGGGGTTTCAACTGATTCAGAGCAAGTCATCGCTGCAATCGTGCAGTTACACACGCATACACACATCCGCGACGCAAAGTTCTGAGAAATGAGAGGTATGACCTCATGGCCCACGAGAACGACGGCCATTGTAAGCTATCAGCGTTCCGTCGAAGATAAATTTTGCAGACACGATCGTGCAGAAAGTGACATCAGAACATAAACCGCTCTAGTCTTGGAAGGACGAACTGCGAAGTAGTAATGTATAATAATTAATATAATGGGAAATAACATTTTCTGAAGAATGTTTCTTTGCATAAAATATCAATTCAAGTAGAGAAAAGTGATTGGTCTTTTGATAGATCCTTCTGGATAAAAATATGGTTACATTCAACGATTCCAAAAAATACGTATAATGTTTTGACATGTGTATAGGAAAGATCAGTACTAGTCTATTAGTGTATTCCGTCGATATATGGATTTTTGAAAACGATACGATCAAATACCTCGAAATATCGTCATTTTCAACATCGCCTCGAAAATTTAACATGTGCGAATGCACTAACGCACACAAACACATATTTCAAAGGAACTCGTGACGACATAACATATTCGCTCTACTCATTGGGAAGGACAAGTTAAGAAGCCAAGTAATGTAGTACAAAATATATTAACTCGCAACACTTTCAAAAAAGAAATCAACGTACCACGGTTGTTATTTCGCCAAGACGGTTCGATATTGTTACTTTCTCGCTACGGAGAAGAGAGAAAGTTATGTAATGCTGCGCGAAAAACGGCGAATTTTCTGCAGAAACCTTTCATTACAACCTGGTAACGAAGAAGTGGATAAATCCAGTTCCTAAACTTCTGGGGTAAATACCGTGATGTAGCCAGAATTCATGTTTTGTGGGTCCTTGATATCGAAATATCGATTGACGGCTAAGCGTCTATCTGTCCGTCTTCCCGTCAGTCTGTATGTCCGTCTGTCTCAGACTAATTATCCGTCTGTGAACAACGCTACCGGCTAAATCGTTCTGCCGATTTCCTCGAAAATGGATATTTTCCAATCGCTCTACCTGATGCTACCTACCTACCTTAAATTTCAAACTGATATCTTAATTTTGGAAGATACTTTACATAAAGTTCCTGTTACATTTTCGAATTTTTCAAAAATATGGCTCCATCGTTTTTTATTAAATTTGGTTATTGAATAGTGTGAAGGACGTTTAAGAGAATGGTGCAGGTTTCATGTTCGTTGAAAATCCAAATTTTTCAAAAATTGCGTAAGTTCAAATTTTTCGAAAATTTCAAATTTTTTGAGGTCATGTACAATTTTTCGAAAATTTGAGTACTTATCGCCTAATTTTACGTGAAAATACAGACGAGATAGCACCTGTCATTTTAGCACCAGTATGAGGATTTTTTTTCTAATTTCAGCCGGTTAGGTTAACATCGTGTTTTTCAGACCTAACAACATCTAGTGACACAAACGAGCACGAACAAAAAAACATTGTAGCACCAAACGGATGGTTTCATTTTTATTTTCCCACGATATCTCGTTTCTACGTCAAACCTTACAATATAATTCACAACAAAACACAGAAACTCAAATTCAGAAATCGTTTAAATTGGCAGCACATGAAATATTACTAAAAATTCACAATAATATTGTGAATACATCTTGAATACTGTTTTGCCATTTGCTTTTGAACTCCTTTTCCAGTTCAAATTAAACCAAACCGGCTGAGGTTCAAGGAATAAACTGATGTCACTGCAGTGCCTCTGACCGAGTGGTCCTCGAGTTCACGTCCTGACGGTTGGGGGGGGGGGGTTTTTGGAAACTAGCTAGATAGCTAAGTCGCATTTCAGACAAGATTTTCCAGAGGATGTTTTCAGAGCCTCAGTGAATCTTTCTGGACTTCAATCTTGTTTTTAAAAAAAGTTATACCATATATCATGTGTATTTCATCGCTTTCTTGTTTTTCTCTCTTCTTATCTGCAGTCACGCTCCTTTCCCCAAGGGGAAATATACCAGCTTAAAGATATAGTTTCTGGAGGAGAGACGGTCTTACGTATCACGTAACAATTGTTCATGTTTTATGTAATCCTGTCAATTTTCTTTGTTAATCAGGATTCTTTCCTATCCTGAACTGTGTATTCTGCTTTGCAGTCAGTACTCATGTATGAGCTTTTTCGGGGGTGAAGGCGGTCTCTGTGAATTATCCAATTTTTCAATTTAGGTTTTTAGCACCACAATCTAACACTTTTTAGAAACAAAGTCGCTTAAATGAAAGTGTAGGATTTCATTTAAGAGAACAGACAAAAAAAATGATGGCTGGTCGATCACTAATGATAATGCGATAAAAGTTGTTCTATAATACATTAATGATTGTGGGTTTGAATTTATTCGTGCTGATACTGGATTTGTTTTTTATTACTATTTGTTTCTCGACTCCGCCATCATAGGGCAACGCCATATGTGCATCTTATAGAGGCTCAGACTGGGTAGATGCACGTTCTTTTTCTGTGCACGTTCCAGCATTTCAATGCTGATTCAATTTTTATACCCCAGCGTTGTTAGCCCTCGGAGATGAAATGATGATGAATAATTTAATAGACACACAAACATACACAGGCACACACAGACACACACAACACAACCGAGCCCGGGACTCGAACTCGAGATCTTCTGGTCCGAGACCGCTACGGCACTACTGCCTTAGCGATCTCAGCCATCTGATCGGCACTGTTGTTGCTATTATTATTATTATTATTATTATTATTATTATTATTATTATTATTATTATTATTATTATTGTTATTATTACTATTATTATTATTATTTTATTATACTACAATTAAAATCATATTTAGACGGAGTAAATAAATCTCCTAAACAGTATTGTCTGACCTTGAAAACTCTCTAAAGAACGCGTCAAACAGCACCAAGGGAACACTAAGTTGAAGTGGCTCATCAATTGGAGAACTACGTACTCTTTGGAACTCACGATACATTACACTTTGGGAAACATTTATAACCTGA